ACATGAGGAATACTAGCTGTGCTCAGACGTTGTCATTCACCTAGCCTCAGTTTTATCATACTAGGAAATCTAAATGGACTCTATAAATATTCAGCCATCCTTTGGTTAAAACACGAGCAGTCTGAAAGAGAAATCACGTGTGAGGTATATATCCCCTGGTCCATGCATGGAGGTAGGAATGTACCAAGTGTATTCAGGGACTGAAAATAATTCACTGTACCAGGAGCACAAGATCAATAGGAGAACTGATGGGAGATGAGACCATAAAAGAGAAACAGCAGCAAATTATGGTTCTTATTGTTTCCTCTGTTAATGCTTTTGAGTTGTGAACTAGAGATATCTCATTTAAATAAATCATTAATGACTACCTCTTTGCTAAAAGATAAACTACAGGGTTATTATTCATCTTCCAAAAAGAAGTAATGACACAGTTCTTCAAGTAGTAAGCATTCCTAATACATTTACAACATGATTTGCTTTGTAAATTTAGATTGACACACAACTTTTCAGGAACACGTAGATTTGTAAATAAACTGTATTTTGACTGGTGTACATGTTGCCTCACCTGCGCAGTTGAAAAGGGTGGGTAGGCTTGTTTTTTCTATCAAGGGAAATATATTTGTTTGAGAGGCTGACAAGATGGCTAAAAAGAGATGTCAATAGATGTCATTTGCTTATGCACTGAGGGCTTGGGAACTCTAACCACTGATTGCAAGGATGCAGCATTTAAATGTATATTCCTTCCCTGGGTTTACATTTTGAAAGTAAAAGGGTTTTAATAGTAAATTTCTTAGCATCATTACACTTAGGCTCTATGTAAGCCTTACAGCAAAAAATTGCTGTAGTGGAATAATCAAAACCAAGAAATTAACATTATTTTAATACTATAAACTAAAACTTTTATTCTGATTTTAGTAGCTTTCCCACTAGTGTCCATTTTCTGTGCTGGGTCCCCACCCAGGAACCACATTGCAGTTTGTTGTTAGTTCTCCTTAGTTTTCTGTAGTCTGTGACCATTCCTCAGTCTTTCCTCTTTTGTTAATGCCCATGCCTTTTTTCCAGAGTACTGATTTATTCTGTTGAACCTCTCTCAGTTTGGGTTGTCATGATTCAATTGAAGTCCTTCGAAGTGTGTCATGTCATAGGGTTCATGGTGTTGCTGTGTCATCACTGATGATGTTGACCTTGATCACTTGGTCAAGGTGATTTCTTGTTTGTACTTTAATAGTTAATCATTATCTACTATTTCTGAAAAATGACAAGGTAGCTGATCATGGACTATGGAGACCATCTTTTACAGTTCAGTTCTCAGAAGCTCCAAGTGGGTAACCACTTGCTCAAAAGTCACCCAGTTATTTAGTGCCGGAGCTGGAGTTTAGCAGTGTGGTCTCAGGGATCCAGGTTGGATGCTCTCAAAGTACAGCTTCTCCCGGAGGGTAGAAGGTTGCATTGGAGACATTTCAGCCAATGGAGTAACACGAGGAATACGAGGTGTGCTAAGACACTTGTAATTCATCCAGCCTTAGTTTTACTGTGCTAAAAAAACTGACTACATGAATATTTAGCCAGCTTTTGGTCAAAACGTGCTAAAACAGATTAAAAGAGAAATCATTTCTAGGTGCATACCCTCAGTTCATGGTGCCTGCTCACAGAGCTGGCCCGGACTGGCAATCAGAGGAACTTCTGTATCAGCATTTCTGAAGTGAAAATAATTCTCCTGGAATGCTCCACATAACACATAGGGAACAACAACAAAAAACCTACTTGAGATTTTTAACAGAAAAAGGAGATTTGTTTATTAATAATTCATGAGTTCCCATTGAACATGCACGACAGAAACAGTGCTATTCAATAGAGAATACTGTCATCTGTCACTGTTTTATTTGACATTTACACTTTTTTTTTTTGCCTGATACTGCAAAACTTTCTTGGATGGCATGCAAAAATTATATAAATGAAAAAAAAAATCCCAGTGCGGGCACTCTTTTATCTCTTCTGTGATGGGTTCACTCACAGTTGCCTACGTGTGTGTTCATGAAGGAGTATGGCACTTTCTCACACATTCATTAGCCACCAAACAAGCGAACAAGAGACCCAATAGAGAAAACAGAGATAAGCATCGTAAATGTACTGGTGGAAGGATCGTGTGAATAAAAAGATGGAGGGTGAGATGGGAAGTGAGGTGGAAGAACAGATTTCCGGAAGGTAAGCATAAAATAGGGAGAGTGAGCAGTGAGTCGGACTGAGGAGAAGGCAAATCATGGCTGCCATAGAGAAAACTGACAAAAATACATTGCCGTTTCAAATGTAAAATAAATATTTATAAATGGCATTACAGGAGCTCCAATGGTAGGGAATATGGGCATTTAGTAGAAGAGCAAGTTAGAGTTAGAGCACCTTGCAGTTTTGTGCTGGTGTAAGGCTCTTGACAATCTTTCTGCTCTGTAGGTTAGTTATTATTTATAAAAATCACAGAACCAGCTGATACATTCATAAGCTAATTATTGAAGCAGCTGGGTACACATGGTGCAATATGTCCAAGGCTGTGAAGTATCACAGATTTCTTGGGGCCTGCTGTGGTGGGGGTGCGCTGGTGAAGGCTCCATCCCTTAATCTGATCAGCCAAGCAAACACTTTGTGGGGAAACTAGATTAATAACCCTCTAAATACCATGAATGTGCTTCATCTTCAAAACCGGGTTCCCTTAAACACGCTATTAGCTCAGCTCCATCAGGGATTTGAGGAGGTTCTCTGGTGCCCTAAGAACAGGGTCTTGTTGGCTACCTCCCTGTGCCAGAAATTAATTTGGTTTGCTTATGTCTGCACACATGATCACACTTGTGTCTAATCCGCTCCCTAATAGCTTCAAGGTCAGGACCTTGCATGTCAGTGGGCAAATTGAGCACTACACTTCTTAAAGACTGATGGCAGACAGCACACCGTCCATAACGAGGCCTGTAGTTTGTTCTAAGTGATTGTAATGAGTGCAGATTATAACAGCACATATAAATCAAAAGCGGCAATGAACGTCGTGTGAGACGTTTTGAGTATTATAAGTGAAGATGCCACTCAGCTGTCACCTGTCTCCTTTCAAGCTGTGGCTTCCCACAATGCAATTCACTCCTTAAGCGGAACAGCAGGTGCTGTCCTCCTGAAGGTCTGGGTATCTCAAAACTTCAGCTTTTAACAGATGTAGGTTTTGTTTTTATTTTCTGTTAAATGATTGGTCTGCATGCCCTAGCTTCCCCTGGGGGATGTTAAACATACCTGTTTGGAAAAAATGAAAGAGTTCATTGGGAGACTTATTCAGATCTGTGAAAAGACAGAGAAATAGGAGCTTATTTTTTCCACAGATGGTTTATTTTCCATTTCAAGAATCCTTTTCTTTCTACAAAGAAACCCTTGAGGAAACACTTTGGGACTAGGAGAGTTTTAAAAACACAATTTATTTTTAGAGATAAAAAATTTGTCTTCAGTTTTCATACATGTTGCACCTTGAAAATCAACCATTACCTGTCTCTCCAAGTTAAAAAAAATCTATGAAAATATGTGGAAAAGCGTTTCCAAGCAAATGATTAGATATCTTGTTTTCATTCTTCCTAACCCTCTAACTCTCCCCAGCTCCCAGTTTATTGTAAGAAAAGATCAGGTCTGCGCAAATGTGGCCTCTCACTTGTAAAAACAAGGCAGTGTTGTGTTACAGATTAGTTTATAAATCCCCAGCGGCTTCACAGTTCAGTGCCTACAGCTGCTGCAGATGGGCCTGGGTTTTTGTCTCTTCGTGGTGCTGCGGCCAGCAGTTGAAGGGGAAAATGGAATGATCAGGTTATTAACATGGAGGCCACGAGGAAGAGGCTGCACAATGAGAACAGCTGGTGTTGCTGTCTTGGCTGATGCAGCGGAGATAATCAAATCTTGCCTTTTTTTGGGTAAAGGCAGAAGACACAGTGGAGTGTCAGACAAACAACGGCTTATGATATTATATGGGGTTTTTAGAATGCGTGTCAGGAGCTTTCATTGGCTTACCAGTTACGATATAGAAATTTGTTGAGGTTTGGGATTTATTTTTCACAAAGTCATTTGTGTTTGCTTATGCACCTTTTTAGAAAAATCCTTACTCTTTTGCAAGAGGTGTGATGTGGGACAGTTCTTGCTTTTAAAATTAGCGATGTAGCTTAGAAATGATGGGTTAGAAAGCTACTGGGTAAAATATTTTGACATGAGTCAGTGAGCGATGTTGACAGCATCCTCTGTATTATTTTCATATAATCTATCATTATTTGCATTACATTTTCTTTCTTGTGCAGTTGCAAGCAAGAGAACATCCGGATGCCAGAGCTGGGAGGCATTCGTTTGCAGGTGTGACCCGACCAACTGCCTACCTTCCTGCAGGTGTGGCTGTGGCGGGAAAGGGATGGTTAACAAGGCCTAGAGACCAAGGCATTCAGAGATAGAGAAAATATACATTTTTTTTTCATTCTAGCTAAGGTGGTTGTTTGTATTTTGTGGCATTATTGATAATTATAAGACTGTTTTCTTCCCACAGAATTCAGTGCTATTCTCACTTAGACATTTTTACTTCTTCAAAATTTGCAATCTCATAATACATATTTGTTCATCTTCACTCTTTTCTTAGGATGGATACCATCCAATTGAGTAATTAAAAAAATTGTAGTAGACCAACACAAATTACTTTTTCTGGGGATTAGATAACTATATTCTTGCTCGAGTATTTCTACAAAGGCACTGTAAATTACCTGAGAATGTATGTGATAGGAAGGGTGATAAGGTAACAAGAGTGAAGGTTCTCAGGCATTGGTGTAAACTGATGTGGTTATTGGTTGGTTTTTCAGTGATCAGGCTGTTTCAGTATCTCCCCATGTCAGTGGGAACAATTTTGACAAAAAATATAATAACGTGGAATGGCACTTCACTGCAGCCAAGCCATCCTCTGCTGCTCTGCACTCGGAGGGTGAACTCAAGTGACCTTCTCTCTCCAGGGCTGGCTGTGTGAACTGCTCCGCTGGAAAGAGAACCCCAGCCCAGAAAACCGCACGCTCTGGGAGAACCTCTGTACCATCCGTCGCTTCCTGAACCTTCCCCAGCACGAGAGGGATGTGATCTACGAGGAGGAGTCCAGGCATCACCACAGCGAACGCATGCAGCACGTGGTCCAGCTCCCGCCTGAGCCGGTGCAGGTGAGTGCTCCCTTCTTCCAGTCTGAGCAAGGCTGTTCGTGCTGGCAGCTGTGGGGCATCACATGGGCACACCACATGAGCTCCCACAGGAAGGGGTCTCGTGCCATGTCCGTGAGAACAAGGACGCCTTTCTCTCCGCGGGAGCATGTGTCTAACAGTGTGTGTGTGTGTGTGTGTGCACGCGCGTGTGCATGTGCACACACATGCTCACACAGAGAAAAATGACTGAGAAGTCAAATCAAAAAGCTGATCCTTTCCTAAGGACGTTTACTGGTGGGATTGTGAAGCAAGTGCATGCATTCAGGATTAAATCTCCCAGTCATAAAACGTAACTCATAGTTCTCATCAGTTCATTTTCTAAAGAAAACACTCTGAAGTAGCCAATGAATTGATTTAAAATTCCTCAAAGAATGTTTGATTGGGCTGCGTAAAAAAACATCCACATGGCAGGAGTGTCCAACCCTCTTGCAGCCCAGGATGGCTATGAAAGTGGCCCAAAACAAAATCATAAATTTCCCCCCAAACCTTTTATTTTCATCAGTTTTTGTTGGTGTTTGTATATTTAATATGTGGCCCAAGACAACTCTTCTTTTTCCAGTGTGGCCCAGAGACGCCAAAAGGTTGGACGTCCCTGAGTGAGAATACCATTGAACTCAACTTAAGCATTGAGAGAAATCATTGATGTATTCTTAGAATTTTAAGATGAGTTTTTGCCATCTTTGATTTCATTTGGGTCCCATGTGTTATTGCTTTGTTTTTATTATCACTGAGAGATATTTTTTCTAAAAGTAATTGAGTTTAACTACTTAAAAATCAGTGGTTTTGGAAGAAATATTACTGGTAACTAGGGTTTCCAAGGTTGCATGCCTTGGAGTTTTGCCCACAGGTTGTTTTGGTAGTGATGAGATCTGTTCCACTGCCCAATACTGCCGATCCCAGCTGCTGCCAAAGAGGACCCTTCAGAGGACCCCTCTGTCTGAACCTCCTTTTGTGTAGCCTAAAGAGAAAGGTTGAGGCAGGAGTGCGTGTAGGGTTGTGTGTGTGTGTGTGTGTGTGTGTGTGTGTGTGTGTGTAAAGAGTGGACGAGAAGATTATGAGAATGGAAGAATAGTGGGGCGGGCTTTCTTGATCAAGATGTCATCGGGGAGGTGGTGAAGGATGGCGTGAGATGCTCTGCCCTGAAGTTCCCTATCTCCTTTCTCCTTGGCCCACTCTTACACGTCTGGGTGAGAAGTCAGAAGTAAATTGGTCCCTTATATCACGTTTCATCCAAACATTGACATCTCAGGCAATGCTTTCGTATTCTCATTGGTCAGTTTCCTTAGTCACAGAGTAAATGGCCCAAATGATTAGACTCATGAGCTCGTAGAACTAGAAGCACCTGGGGGCAGTCTCTTACACTTTCCGCAGTGACCTCAGAGCGGGTGGGTGATGAGGGTGGGCTGATGTGTGGTGGAGCCCACTCTCCTGGCTCTGGACTGATGCTTGGTGAGCCATTCCTCAGCGGTGAGCCCAGGATTTTCCCTTCAGGACTCACCGTGCCCCTCCCTGTCCCTCCCTGGCTGGGCCTCCTTCACACACCACACCACCTCCCTGTCAGGTCAGGTCAGCACGCCCAGCAACCTAGAGCGGCGGTTTTCACAGTTTGAGATTTAGTACAAATTAAAGTAAAAGAGGGACCCAATATAAGTTTACTAACTTATAATTTAGGAAAATAAATTTACATGAAAAATGTAAGGAAAGCTGCCATTTGTTATCTATATATTTAATGAAATAAAATATTTTAATAACAAAACAAATTAATGAAAAGGATAGCCTCAGACAACAGATCTTATAAACTGTATGCATTCAATCATGTAAAAAAATTTTCCATCACCCTTGATTTTCTTATTTTGATATAAACTGCTCAAAACTTTTATGTTCAACCAGCACAAAGCCAAAAACTAGCTTCAGGGAACCATAGGCTTGTGTGGATTTTTCATTCAGGGGTCATCTTAGTTCAATCCAGGAAAAGTAGAAAAGGAGTGAAAAGCTGCTTTATTCTACACATTAATAAATAACATCCCATTTTAAATCCATTTTTATTTTAAAGTTGGAAAGTTAGAGAAGTTTGTGATAAAAATACTAAGACCTATTCTCCATTGTAATTGAGAACTTCCCTTTATTTGGATGATGTTGGCTCCTACACATTGCTGTCTCCATTTTTTTGGCCAGAAATTCTCATATATATGAGGCCCCCATGTTTAGGGAACTAAGGAAATTCAATGTGCTGTTTTGTCTTTTAACTCATCAGTCTGAGGAAAGTAAATCTTAGAAGCAGACAGACAATTGATTTATGAGCTTTATTACCTTTTATGTTAGTATGTCAGAACTAGAGTATGCTAACAATATTTAATGGCAATAATAATGACATTAATGACAATAAATTAAAGAGTCCATCTGTAATTTCTGTTTTCATTTCTAAGCACTTTGCAGATATTAATATTAACTTCTGATATCACTAAGAGAATTCTTTTATTTTGTAAGAGGTTACTTCTGTCACTCAGATCATAGCTAAAGAGTTTACAAATAGGGCAAATTTCCCCACATTGACCTTGCTGTAGCTATTGACCTGGAACCCATACCTGCTGTGCAGCTCTTCAGATACATCGCTTTCTCTTTTACCTTGTGCCTGTGTCCAAGGGATGCCACTGTGAAGGCTGTGTTCTGTTTGTCAGCAAGATACAAAGTTTTGGATTAGTTTTTTATTAGTCATGATGTGAAAAATAAAGAAAAATGGCTGGAACTCTGCAGACTGGAGAATACAATTGATACAGCTTCTGAGACTTGGGAAGTGCTGTGTTCAAAAAGGTCCCACACTGCTAAAATTTATCTGTAATTGTCCAAAAGTTAAGCCGTTGGATTCAGGATTGAACTTCACTTGTATTCTTATACCAAATGAAATTTTAAGGAGATATGATTGCTTACATATTTTACGAATTTTAAAATTCATGTGTAGTATAACATTTTTTTGCCAATGTTAGATTTTGTCTAATTAGGCTGAGAATGCACCATTATTAAATTGTTAAGTACAGGTGAAATCAGCGATTATTAAGAGCTTCTGATATGTGTAGCATATTAAAACGTACACATTGTGGTCATCGAAGGATGCCATTTCAATTTCTTTAAGCAATCGGGGCGCACTCCTCCCCGTTTTTCTTGTGTAGTAAGGGCATGAAGCAATGACCTTTGTGCACAGTCACCCTCCATGTTAGTGTGTTGAATTAGAGCCCACACAGTGCTGGACAAAAGGAGGAGCTTCCCGTCCCCTCCTGCCCAGTCCATACTTTCCATGATGTGGAGAAGCTTCCTCAAGTCAGAGCCTCTCTCCCCTCACAGAAAGGAGAGGAAGTTTTTCTTGCTGTTTGTTTGCAAATGGCTTACACATTGATAGGCTTACATTGCATGCAGCTGTGTTTCTTTTTTAAAGCCCTCAGAGGGTTTTAAAATTTTAAACCCACATTTAAAAAATCAGGAGATTTCACATAAAAATCCAGATTTCACATAACAGTTCAAAAAATCAGAAGCTCTGACACCCTGGGCCACTTGGCCAGAGCTGATGCCTTTGTGCAGGGCACACACACGCTGCGCTGCTGCCTGGTTCTCATCACCCACCCTCTGTGTCCACACACACACACACACACACACACACACCCCCCTTCATTTAGACCTCGCTCCTGTCACCTTGTCACGTCACTCTGCCCCTGTGAGGCCACCTTGCCCCTGCGACCCCGGCTCTACACTGAAGCTGCCACACCAAAGCTGCATGTGCCTTTGCCCGTGGTTCCAATTTCTCCTGTGGTAACCACTGTGTGCCATTGATTTTTATAACCCTGACACCTAACGGAAACCTTTGCACACTCACCAAGGAATTCAGGTGATGGTATTTCCCTTCGGAGGTGAAGCTAGATTATGAGTGAGGCCAAGTTGGGCTTGGGGTTACTAAGAAGCACTGTCAGCCCCAGAAACAGGGGGTCCAGGAAAAGGGAGGTGGCTTTTCCCCAGGAATTCCTAGCTCTGCAGGTGACGTGTAGCTTTGATGCATCGTGGAATCCTCTGGTTTCTCCAGTGTTCTTTTTGGTACTCTGAGTCTCTCCCCATTTGAGTCCCTGCTGTGTAAATGGCAACTTTCCAGGCTCTGAACACACTTTGTAAAGTGGACCCCTCCATACCTTGGGTCGTCAGCGTGGGCAGTACTGCCCCAGGGGGAGAAAACGGGTTCTTGAGGAGCATAAAACATCTCCAGTTTACAATGGTTTGTGGCCTTCCAAAGGGAGAGATATCCAGTATATCTTTGCTCTTCAAGTTTCATGAAGCGGAGAAAATGAGTAAGGGGAAAAATCCCTAAACAGGCACCTTCTGAGGGTAACCTGAAAAGGGGTGGGGCGTGAAATACGGACGTGCGTACTATTTCTAGCCCATGTGAATGTGAAGGGAAGACCAACACAGGTAAGCTGACGTGGTGAGGCAAGCTAAAACAGTCCATGAGAACGATGAGGCAAATTCTATTTTTTACGCCAAAAGTTGGAGACAAAATTATTACTTGTGGTTGTAGTGATTTTCTCCCTAGTGGTTATTATGACCCGAGGCCCTATACTGAATGGATATCCTCAACTTAGAATCAAAAACTAGTTAGGTCAGAGTATTCATTATTAACAACTGCATTTTACAATTGGAAAAACTGCCGCAGAGACGTCGAGCCTCGCCTGAAGCCAGGGCGCCCGCTGAGTGAAAACGCAGGCGTGTCTTGGCATCCAGTCTTCCCCCCGACCGCACTTCCCCTTTAACGCACCGGGAGGAGAGGACATTGCTCATGCTGTGACTAGGTCACTGAGTGGGGTTGACTGGGGAGCATTTGCCAAATCGTTCATGTCTATGTAGTTTGTGCTTTATTGCTTTATTATATTTCCACCACAGTGCTTCCATGGGTTATTTTGGAAGTCCAGGAATTCTGAGCTTGC